GGGGGGGCGGGGGGCGGGCGAGGCGGGCGTCAAAGTCGGTTTCTTCTCTCTTCCTTCTTTCATCAGCTCTCTCAGAGGAAGAGGACGAGAGAGACTCGAGATATTTTACGAGCCTCATTTCGTCTCACAGCCCTCACAGCGGCAATTGGCACAGATTCTTCTCAGAACCCCGTCCCCACATCGTCCGTCCTCAGGCCCTGGGGCCCCTGGACAAAGCACGGCCTCCTGGTCATCAGCGCCTGCGCCTCGGGAATCCCCTCCAGAAAAGGAAGGAGAACCACCCAGGTCCCACCTACTTGGTTGGTCATTAGTTCTGTGGTGGAGCTTGAAAAGCAAACCAACAACAATAGCAGTAATAATAACACATTTGTACAGCGTGTTGTGCTCATTTGTATGCATGTGTTATGACTTCACGATTGGGAGATGTAGGCAACTGGATGTAGAAATAGCTTCTGGACAGCGACAAGGGAGCGCGCAGCCCATAGAAAGGAATGACAGGCGCAGTCGATTAAGCCGTGGAAACTGGTACCTGGCAGGTAGGAAAGCAGCGCCAGAAGGCTTGTCAATAGCCCAGTGGACGGAAAAGGTTTTATTTCCCTCTTAAGAGATTCCCGCCCTTCCGTGCACCCTTGTGCAGCCTTGGAGGGCCAATTCCTTAGCTGCCCTGTTCCGTTCCCCCCTACCCTACTTGGAAAGGTGGCTCAGTCCTCCCGGCACGAGACTCGCCGGCAGTTGGGTCAGGATGCGGGAAGTTTCTGATTGGCGGAGTGGCAGAAGCACCGGGTGAAAAGAGCTCCACTGGCGGCGCGCCCCAATCCAGGCGTAGCCAGCGCCGTACGACAAAATGGCGTCCTCCAGGCATTTGGGACGCCCGGATGGGACAATTCCGCCCCCTGCAGCTCAGGGGGAAGGGAGCCGCAGACCATGTGGGCGGCATTGGAAGCCCTCGCGGGGCGGATCCACCGTCACTTCCGGCCACGGGGGGCGGGGGGGACTGGATTCCGTACGACAATATGGCCGCACCTAGGTGGCTGTAGCCGGAAGCTCCGCGGCTTCCGGTCCGGAGTAGGGCCTGCGGTGGGAGGGGGAAGGAAGACGGAGGGAACCATGCGAGGTTCTGAGATCAGCGGCGGGGGTCTTCTCGAGAGACTGTTTCTGAGGTGGGGGCCGGACGGTGCGGGGAGCGAAGGCGGGGGCGGGAATGTCGAGGGAGAGGTACTGGGGGGTTCCCGGGTGCTGAGTCTGAGGGGCAAGCTGTGGTACCTTCCTTCCTATTCCTGAAGGGGAGTGGGGCGGCCGGGGGCTGAACTGGGGGAGGGGTACTTGGCGGGAAGCTCATCTAGGGGAAGGACCGGACTCAGGGCTGGAATCTGAGTGGAAGCAGGAGAGCCCAGTGTGGGGCTCACTATCGGTTACAGGTCCCAGAAAGAGAATGGGGAAAATTAGGGTGGGGTGAGAGGGAGGGGGACTTGAGGTGAAATATCTCCAACCTAACGCCCCGGTTTGAGGAGAGCCATCAGAGGGTGGAATATGGAGATAATTTAAGTAGGAGAAAGGGAAATGGATTGTTGGGAGGGAACCTTCTTCGCCTCAGAGAGTCTCGGAGTTGGGGTGAACCTTCAGGATGCAGTGAGGGTGTGGATTTGATGTGTGTGAGAGCGAAAGGGGAAAACACCTGAGGTGGTGCCAGCGGAGGTGTGGTATCTGTTCGAGGGGATGTCAAGGAAATCTGGAGTGCAATGTGAGAGGTCGTCCAGGGGTTGAGAGGAAGAATCAACTTGCCAACTATGAGAAATAGTGGGGAAATGCAACTGAAAGACCGGATATCGACGTGAGGGGTGGAGCTGGGGGTGGGACTTAAGGTTTTCAGATGGTTTGGGGCTCCCATAGTAAAGGGCCCAAAAAACATATGGTACTAATGGTTGCTGAAGATAGGCAGTGAGGACACTGTTGGGCATGGCTGGGTGTTTTGAAACCCAAGAAGACTGGAAAATGTGTGAGATGAAGGGATGGGGTTATGCTGGAGGGGCTCTGTCTGAGGCCCCATCCCCTTC